TAATTGGAACAAAGATGGAACAGGAAATAAAGAGTTTATTTTGGAATACAGTAGAACAGGGAATAAGGGGGGTAAATTGGAACACCATAGAACAAGGAATAAGGGGGTTAAATTGGAACACAGTAGAACAGGAAATAAAGGGTTTCAATTGGAACACAGTAGAATAAGGAAGAAGGGAATTAAATTGGAAAACAGTAGAACATGGAATAAGGGAGTCAAATAGAACACAATAGATTAAGGAATGAGGGATTGAATTAAAACACAAGGAATAAGATATTGTCTGGACCTGCCTCGTACATTCCTGTTTTGACTTCAATGCCAAAAATATTTCAAAATACTCAGTGAAGAATATGGCTAATATTCAACTTATCAGCATCCTGATCCTCATTTTTACTTTATATTTTAACTGAATTTCATATCATTAAAAGCAATTGAAGGGAGTATGTTTATGGAATAGAGTGATTGTGCATAAGAAGAACAAAGCAAATGTGTTTTATTAGGGGAATGGGAAAACCTGCAAAAAGTATTTACAAATTATTAAGCAAATGATACATTTCTGCTATTATCTAATTTTTCATTCTCCGTTTTGTCCTAACCATATTAAGCGAGGACTATAGGATATACATGTATAATTATTTAACTTACCATTTTGTTTTGTTGTTTCTATATTATATAACACAATGAAAGATAGAACTTTACAAACACTAATATAATTCTATTATTATTTTTTGAATACTTCCTTTGAAACTTAAATTGAAATGTTAAAAAAATGTAAAATTGTATCAAAATCTTTTTGAACCCTTGTTGAAACAAAATCGGAGGAAAAGATTATTTAAATGTTGCCACTCAAAATCAAAGAATGTCTCTATCAGTAATGTGTTTTTTTAACTTATTGTAACTAATTGGAGGCTCTTAAACAGTACCTTTTTTCCCCAGAGTTTGGTTAAATTGGCCAAGTATATTCAAAGAATAAGATGAAAAAGGTATTTACATTGGGTTTCAATTGGAAACATGTGGCACAAATGTCACCATGTTCGCCATTGAATCAACTTTAAATAAGAAATGTTTGAAGATGTCTTCCAATCATCAAATTTAAAAGTTTCAAACATTTTAACTTGATGTGATAAAGATAATATAGCTTTCTAATAAGTCTATCAAATGGTCAAGACGTCTTTTTTTTTCAATCAATCACTTAATGATATTATGGTGCCGTGACCAGGATTTGAACCTGGGTTGTTACCGCACAATAATACCATAAATACTGCACACAGAACATTCACTAGTTGCCGCGCTTTATGTAACATAGTGTCACTTTGACATGTTACTATAGCTCTCTAATACATCTATCAAAAGGTCAAGAGGTCTTTTCTTTCAATCAAACACTTTATGATAGAAATAAAGGATGGGGAATTTTAATAAGGACCTTTCAATGATTATTACTGTCAAATTTGATTCAAACTGGTTTGGTGGTTTCAGAGATGATGATGAAAATGTAATGGGATGGAAAGATGAACAAATAGATGGATGGACAATGGAGGCCACAGTGATGAATATAACGCAAATGACCCCATGGTTATAAGCCAAGTAAAGTCATGTAATACTGGGGTACTTCCCCTAAGTATCTAGTTTGATAAAATCATTAGTTTTGTTATCCGTCAAATGACTGCTTTCAACCAAATGAAATTAGATTTATTAAAGATAAATAGGTTTTAAGTAAAAAAGATAATCCATATTACAGTTTATTATAAAATAAAATTGTATTATTTAAAATTAACTAACCACATAAATAAAACTCTTAAAATGAATCAAAATATTTTGCATTTAATTTGCTAAAAGTCATTCAATTTTAATTTTCCCATACTCTTGTATCTTTTGCCAGCTGATTGAAACTAAACATTCTTACCCAAGTGGTCCTTGTCTCTTTAACCATGATTTATAGATTTCACTATGGGAAGGGAGATAATCCTCACTTTCAAATGAACTAAGTGTTTTCTTTTCCTCTTCTGTGTATTTGTGGGTGATATAAACTGGCTCGTAGTCTCGACCCTGGAATGAAATGTTTTTTTCATCAAACTTTTGTCTAACATCAAATTAAGTTTACAGGTGGTACAATATATTCAACTATCTTTAAGACAGTAAATTTTAAATCTGCATTACCAATCTTATTCAATTTTTTCATACAATGGATATGTTCTTTTTTGGTGATTGTGGTTGTTGGGTTGCTGTCTCCCCACATTTCATTTATTCATGTTTTTCATTTGCAAAAATAACACTAATGACTTGCTGTAGTCTGAGATCTATTTATTGCTGACTAAGCAGGTTGAAATACAGTCCAGCAACACTTTTTACAAAAAATCTTACGATTGAAATTGATCATAAGTTATACTGAAATGTGTATGACTTACGAGTATTTTTACTCTTAAGATTTTTTGTGAAAAGAGCCGCAGATACTGTAAATAATAGTATTTGTTATGTACAGTGTACAATTCCTCTGTCATATAGCAAAACATTAGCAGTTGAACAAAAATATTCATAAGAACAAGTCTTATACTGATTCCAAACTTCACATAAACATGTTTTGTTCGTTGTTGTCTTTTTTTGTATGTCTGTATTTTTTTCGGGTAGAGTTGGGTGTTGGTGGTTGTTGTGGTCTGTCGTTTTGTAAGGAGATTCCTCTTATCCCTTCTTATAAAGAAATGTAAATTGCATGTTAACAAAGAATAAAATGTTAGGTTAACATCAATAAGACAGAAGCCCAACAACACTATACAATCAATACAGATACCTAGATGTCAACTATGTGAAAATGAGAATATCTAATTTAAATCAAAGTATACAAGATCAGATGTTAATGTAAGAACCAAACTTTGATCAAATAATACCGTAATAATACTGTAACAGGATATATTGTCTCAATTATCTTCAATGACAGTAATGATAAAACCATGAGAACAAAATTAAAAAAACAAAATAAAAAAAACAATTAATTATAAAAAAATTTAAATTTTAAATATTAGATATAATAGTGCATACTTATGAATATTTTCGCTCATTTTATATCCCTGCTAACAAAAAGTGTGAAATAAACATATATTGCTTTAATCCACATCAGTTGGTTTTTGGGTGGATAATTGTCTCATTGGCAATCATACCACATCCTCATATAGATATGCAAAGTTACCACAACGTTACATGTTCTATAAGTGATAAATTATAGATGTTTTTTTAAATCAAAAAATTCTATCCATGTTTTATACAGTCTCCATTCAATCAATATTCAAGTTGTAAATAACAATAAATTCAAATGTTCTAGTAGAATGAACTCTAATAACAAGTTTCTGCATTGTTATCATTTATCATAAGCTATTTCAACAATTCTATTAATTTATTTCCTGTTCTATACAATACATTTTAAAACATACTTATGTTCTACAAGTGTATTGACTATGTACTGTTAAATACATATATTGTCAGGGATAATTTTTTTTTTTTTTTTAAATACGAATATAAAATACAGGTTAATTCTTAATTAATACTAATTATAAAGAAAAAATATTAAATTATATTCTTTATATGATAAGGCAATCTTGTGCAATACCCACAAGGGTAGTCTCTAACCTCTATTTAGTAGTAGAACAACAAATATTTTAAACAAACATATGATAATTGTATATTTTTAAATCTGTAATACTATATCATTTATCCATAACTTTGGTTTAACAACAAACAAAAGAAGCAAATTTAAAGGTTGCAAAATTAACTACTGCATTGTCCCAATTAATTTTGCATAATAATTTCTTCTTCCAAGTTCTTCTAAATTTTATTCTTTTCTTGAAAATGAATTTAAGTTTACATGCAATAATATTGAATTTCTTTTTTCACACCAACAATTATAATTTATACTGCAGCACACCATTTGAAGAATTTTCCTTGAACTTGATAATTACTTACAAAAAAATCCCTGACAAATTTTCTCAAATCCAGTAAAGTAGATTCTTCTAACATGATGAAATAATTGACTTTTGCTCGAGTATTGAATGTTATACTGTAATGCTGATTTATCAAAATGAGCTACCATAGTAACAAATTCAAATTTGCATATTTTATTTGTGTGGAAATTCCACTTTTACATCCTTGTTCAACCTGATTCATTTTAATTTCATTTATTTCTTAACCTAGTTTAAATGTTGAAGGTTAAAATAAAGGTAAAGAAAAGGGAGTGAGATCAGCAATCTTTTGTTATAACACACCTTGTTGAAATAATAAAAAAAAAAAAAAAAAATTTGTGGTTTACATGTTTTATGACAATCCAACTATTTCTGTGGTAAAAATGTGCTGACACCACCTTTAGTATAGCCTGGGGATTCAAAAACAAAAACAAACAAACACTTGGGTTTTCCTTTTAGACCAAAATTCAAATTTAACTCTTACACCATTTTTTAACCAATCACATCATATCAAAATCTATAAGAGCAAAATTAAATAAAATGCTTTGCTGAGTGCAGCTGGATACGACCGCAGAGGTCCAACCCTGAACAGTTGGGGCGAAAATGGACACAATATTCAAGCTTGATACAGGTCTGAATTTGGATTGTAATTAAATATTTGACATATTATAGGTTTCTGAATAAATGTAGTCAAAGAACTTGAAATTGGTTATATGAATTGAATTTATATTCAATTAAAGATTTCTTGCTGTTGTGCAATACACTGTGCTGTTGCGCAATACTTAGTAAATCTGTTAAACTATAAACAAAAAAAACAAAGTTCCACACATAACAGAAATTTAACGTTAACTGCGTGTGATGATGTAGTTATTCAATATTAATAATATATTTTCATTCAGTTTAATATAAACATTGATTCAATCATAAAAAGTTGATTTCTGACAAAACTTTCAACATTGTTCCTTTTAATTTGTTTGACATGAATAAGAACTTGAAAATAATGATGTTTCAAATTAAGATCTTCTTAAATGTATTCTATAACTAAACAAAACTAGAGGCTCTCAAGAGCCTGTGTCGCTCACCTGACTCTACTTTGGTTTCAGAAATCATGTAAAGATAGATAAAAATCATAACAGATACCCAAATAATGATTGAGGCCAAATTTGGTTTAATATTGGTCCCCGTTATTTAATAAAATATCCTGGTGGCCATCTTGAACAGTAAATCGGCAACAAAGAAGCAACACTTGGTCAGCACCTCATAAGGAACATTCATGCCATGTTTGGTTTCATTCCATTCAGTGGTACTCTAAAGGAGACATTTGTATGTATTTCCCAAAGGGTCCTATGTTAAACTAAGTCCCCCCTGGTGGCCATCTTGGATGATGGATCCGCTGCAATGTAACAACACTTGGTCAGCACCTCATAAGGACCATTCATGCCATGTTTGGTTTCATTCCATTCAGTGGTTCTCTAAAAGAAGACATTTGTATGTAATTCCCAAAGGGTCCGATGTTAAACTAAGCCCCCCCCCCCCCTGGCGGCCATCTTGGATGATGGACCCACTGTCAAGTAACAACACTTGGTCAGCACCTCATAAGGAACATGCATGCCATGTTTGGTTCCATTCCATTCACTGGCTCTCTAAAAGAAGACATTTGTATGTATTTCCCATAGGGTCCTATGTTAAACTAAGTCCCCCGCTGGCAGCCATCTTGGATGATGGACCAACTGCAAAGTAACAACACTTGGTCAACACCTCATAAGGAACATTCATGCCATGTTTGGTTCCATTCCATTCAGTGGTTCTCTAAAAGAAGACATTTGTATGTAATTCCCTTAGGGTCCTATGTTAAACTAAGTCCCCCCCTGGCGGCCATCTTGGATGATGGACCGACTGCAAAGTAACAACACTTGGTCAGCACCTCATAAGGAACATTCATGCCATGTTTGGTTCCATTCCATTCAATGGTTCTCTAAAAGAAGACATTTGTATGTATTTCCCATAGGCTCCTATGTTAAACTAAGTCCCCCGCTGGCGGCCATCTTGGATGATGGATCGGCTACAAAGTAACAACACTTGGTCAACCTCATAAGGAACATTCATGCCATGTTTGGTTTTATTCCATTCACTGGTTTTCTAAAAGAAGACATTTGTATGTATTTCCCATAGGGTCCTATGTTAAATTAAGTCACCCGCTGGCGGCCATCTTGGATAATGGATCGACTGCAAAGTAACAACACTTGGTCAGCACCTCATAAGGAACATTCATGCCATGTTTGGTTTCATTCCATTCACTGGTTCTCTAAAAGAAGACATTTGAATGTATTTCCCTTAGGGTCCTATGTTAAACTAAGTCACCTGCTGGCGGCCATCTTGGATGATGGACCAACTGCAAAGTAACAACACTTGGTCAACCTCATAAGGAACATTCATGCCATGTTTTGTTTCATTCCATTCAGTGGTTCTCTAAAAGAAGACATTTGTATGTATTTCCCATAGGGTCCTTTGTTAAACTAAGTCCCCCGCTGGCGGCCATCTTGGATTATGGATCGGCTTCAAAGTAACAACACTTGGTCAGCACCTCATAAGGAACATTCATGCCATATTTGGTTTCATTCCATTCACTGGTTCTCTAAAAGAAGACATTTGAATGTATTTCCCTTAGGGTCCTATGTTAAACTAAGTCACCCGCTGGCGGCCATCTTGGATGATGGACCGACTGCAAAGTAACAACACTTGGTCAGCACCTCATAAGGAACATTCATGCCATGTTTTGTTTCATTCCATTCAGTGGTTCTCTAAAAGAAGACATTTGTATGTATTTCCCATAGGGTCCTTTGTTAAACTAAGTCCCCCGCTGGCGGCCATCTTGGATGATGGATCGGCTACAAAGTAACAACACTTGGTCAGCACCTCATAAGGAACATTCATGCAATGTTTGGTTTCATTCCATTCAGTGGTTCTCTAGAAGAAGTTCAAAATGTAAAAAGTTAACGACGGACGACGACAGACGACGACGACGACGGACGACGGACGACGGACGCCAAGTGATGAGAAAAGCTCACTTGGCCCTTTGGGCCAGGTGAGCTAAAAAAGGAACATTGATAAAACTTTTGTTAGAAATCAACTTTTTATGATTGAATCAATGTTTATATTAAACTGAATGAAAATATATTATTAATATTGAATAAATACATCATCACACGCAATTTATGAGTATAAAAAAAGTATTTTTGTCTATATATAAGAATTTTTTTTTACTCAGGTAAATTAACCAATGAATGATAGATTTCTCTTAGAAGAAATTTAAAGGTCCCAGAGAATAACTACACAGAGAACAATAGCTATTGTATTTATTCAATAGGACAGGTGAACTTGTAAAAGTTTAAATACCTGGTCAAGATAGAGATGGCACTGTGGAAAACTTTCATTGGGTTCGCAATAACACCTTTGTAATATACGATTTGTCACTACCTAATATTGTTGCAAAAACTGAACTAGAGGCTCTCAAGAGCCTGTGTCGCTCACCTGATTCTACTTTGGTTTTGGAAATCATGTAAAAATAGATTAAAATCATAACAGATACCCTAATAATAAGTGAGGCCAAATTTGGTTTAATATTGGTCCTGTAATTTAATAAAAAATCCTCGTGGCCATCTTGAACAGTAAATCGGCAACAAAGTAGCAACACTTCATCAGCACCTCATAAGAATCATTTATGCCATGTTTTGGTTTCATTCCATTCAGTGCACCTCTAGAAGAAGCATTTGTATGTATTTCCCATAGGGTCTTATGTTAAAGGAAGTGTCCCCATTGGTGGCCATCATGGATGAAGGATCAGCTTTAAAGTAACAAAACTTAGTCAGCACCTCATAAGGAACATTCATGCCATGTTTGGTTTCAATCCATTCAGTATGTGGTTCTCTAAAAGAAGATATTTGTATGTATTGTCCATAGGGTCCTTTGTTAAACATTGTCCCCATATGGCGGCCATCATTGATGAAGGATCAGCTTCAAAGTAACAACACTTGGTCAGCACCTCAAAAGGAACATGCATGCCATGTTTGGTTTCATTCCATTCAATTGTTCTCTAAAAGAAAACATTTGTATGTATTTCTCATAGGGTCCTATGTTAAACTAAGTCATCTGCTGGCTACTATCTTAGATTATGGATCGGCTTCATAGTAACAACACTCGGTCAGCACCTCATAAGGAACATTCATGCCATGTTTGAATTCATTGCATTCAGTGGTTCTCTAAAAGAAGACATTTGTATGTAATTCCCTTAGGGTCCTATGTTAAACTAAGTCCCCCCCTGGCGGCCATCTTGGATGATGGACCGACTGCAAAGTAACAACACTTGGTCAGCACCTCATAAGGAACATTCATGCCATGTTTGGTTCCATTCCATTCAATGGTTCTCTAAAAGAAGACATTTGTATGTATTTCCCATAGGGTCCTATGTTAAACTAAGTCCCCCGCTGGCGGCCATCTTGGATGATGGATCGTATACAAAGTAACAACACTTGGTCAACCTCATAAGGAACATTCATGCCATGTTTGGTTTTATTCCATTCACTGGTTTTCTAAAAGAAGACATTTGTATGTATTTCCCATAGGGTCCTATGTTAAATTAAGTCACCAGCTGGCGGCCATCTTGGATAATGGATCGACTGCAAAGTAACAACACTTGGTCAGCACCTCAAAAGGAACATGCATGCCATGTTTGGTTTCGTTCCATTCAATTGTTCTCTAAAAGAAAACATTTGTATGTATTTCTCATAGGGTCCTATGTTAAACTAAGTCATCTGCTGGCTGCCATCTTAGATTATGGATCGGCTTCATACATGTAGTAACAACACTTGGTCAGCACCTCATAAGGAACATTCATGCCATGTTTGAATTCATTGCATTCAGTGGTTCTCTAAAAGAAGACATTTGTATGTATTTCCCATAGGCTCCTATGTTAAACTAAGTCCCCCGCTGGCGTCCATCTTGGATGATGGATCAGCTTCAAAGTAACAACACTTGGTCAGCACCTCATAAGGAACATTCATGCCATGTTTGGTTCCATTCCATTCAGTGGTTCTCTAAAAGAAGACATTTGTATGTATTTCCCATAGGGTTCCATGTTATACTAAGTCCCCCGCTAGCTTGCCATCTTGGATGATGGATCGGCTTCAAAGTAACAACACTCGGTCAGCACCTCATAAGGAACATTCATGCCATGTTTGGTTTCATTCCATTCAGTGGTTCTTTAAAAGAAGACATTTATATGTATTTCTCATAGGGTCCCATGTTAAACAAAGTCCCCTGCTGGCGGCCATCTTGGATTATGGATCGGCTTCAAAGTAACAACATTCGGTCAGCACCTCATAAGAAACATTCATGCCATGTTTGGTTTCATTCCATTCAGTGGTTCTCTAAAAGAAGACATTTGTATGTATTTCCCATAGGGTCCAATGTTAAACTAAGTCCCCTGCTGGCGGCCATCTTGGATTATGGATCGGCTTCATAGTAACAACACTTGGTCAGCACCTCATAAGGAACATTCATGCCATGTTTGGTTTCATTCCATTCAGTGGTTCTCTAAAAGAAGACATTTGTATGTATTTCCTATAGGGTCCCATGTTAAACTAAGTCCCCTGCTGGCATCCATCTTGGATAATGGATCAGCTTCAAAGTAACAACACTTGGTCAGCACCTCATAAGGAACATTCATGCCATGTTTGGTTTCATTCCATTCAGTGGTTCTCTAAAAGAAGACATTTGTATGTATTTCCCATAGGGTCCTATGTTAAACTAAGTCCCCTGCTGGCGGCCATCTTGGATGATGGATCCGCTACAAAGTAACAATACTTGGTCAGCACCTCATAAGGAACATTCATGCCATGTTTGGTTTCATTCCATTCAGTGGTTCTCTAGAAGAAGTTCAAAATATAAAAAGTTAACGACGACGACGGACGACGGACGCCAAGTGATGAGAAAAGCTCACTTGGCCCTTCGAGCCAGGTGAGCTAAAAAAGGGCAATAACTCCTATAAGCTGTCTATTGAAAATTTCATTTAAGTTAACTCATAAGTAGATCTTATACTTGTGGCAAAAAACTCAACCATTTATTTAAATTTTAAAACTAAATGAAAATTATTATTCAACAGTGGGTCCTTGCATGTACTTAAGATGTGATCTTCTTATATTTCTGTATTGTCTAAAGTTAGACTTGCTTTTTTGTCAAAATATTAATTATATTATATAATATATATATATTAAAACACTCAGTTAACCTGTATACAACTTATGCATATTATAATAGTTGCCAGTCACATATTTTATGTATTATAATATAATGTACTTTGTATTGAGCTGTTACTGATTGTTATTCTAGCATTTGTCATAGTAAATATTGTTTTTTGTCAAAGTACATTTGTATGTTTGGACTTTTAAATATTTTGGCCTCTAGCATCACTGATGAGACATTAATTGTTGAAATGCACATCTTGTGCAATAAAATCCATATTAAATATTTGTTCTATTGTGTTGCTGTCACATGTGCACATATACATTTAAAATTTCTAAAAAGTTCAAAACCATTTTAATCTGTTCAAGTCTATTACCTATAATTCTGGAAATTGTACAATAATAAATTCTAGTTCAGTATCAAGAACGCATACATTTATTCCCTTATATTATTAGAGTTAAAACTCTGTGTTTTAATCATGAATCTTTTTTTAAACTGATATGAAGGGGTAAAAATGTGGAATTAAAGTCTAGGGAGGTTGGTATGGCTTTTGCAAGTATGAAACAGAATCTAAGATGTTAGTCTTCCATGCAGTTGTGTGCTTTTGTCTTGGTTGCAAAGAAGGGCATATATGATTACCAGTTTGTTCTAAATAAGCTAACTTATCGCACTGCGGGTAAATTATTACGTTGTGATTGGTTTAACGCCGTCAGGTGGTGACCCCCTATGGATCCGTAGGGGGTTAGTAAATTTCATAGTGGCTTCATGACGTCACGTCTACTGTTAATGGTGACGTCATCTATTGATGTTGTTGTATTTCATTGTTTATTTTTCTACAAAACGCTGCAGAAAAAGTCTCGCGTGCCTTCGGCCTCACCCCCTATGGATTTTACTAACCCCTTATGGATCCGTAGGGGGTCAGTAGCGAACCATATAACTTATAATAGCTGCATTCTAGAGAAACCTAATGCCAAATGAGAGATGAACAGATAAAAATATGAAAAGAGATACAGCTCTTTTGGCTACATTTTTTCTTTGTTTCTTTTGACTACATTTTTTCTTTGTTTAATTGGAAAACAGCTAAACTGTTTAAGTGATGAATAAAAGATTGAAAAAGTCAACAAAGCTAAGGATTATCATAGTAATGCATTCCATTCTCAATTTTAGCTAAAATATTGGATATGAATACTTGATAAAGGATGTAAAGACAACATGTGAGAAAAATCTAGATATATATATAGATGTATTTTGGAATGTAATGGGAATAAAAGAAAGAACTGTAGTCATATAGTGGTTTCCAGAAAAATTGTTAGTTTTGAATAGCGTACCAGTACCATAATCATTGTGTTTCAAGAGGGAATTATGAATTGAAATTTTGTACAATGTTTTTCTGGCATGGCACAAGATCATGTCTTCGTGTACTTGTATGAAGTAGCTGTGTATATACACTGTCGCTGTGTATATACGCTGTCCCTAAGTATCATCAGTTTAGTAGTTAGTGCTTTGGTACACACATGATTTATAACACGCAAATCATATAATTTCTTATTTATGGAAAAATGTAAAATGATATCATATAGGAGCAGAAATGAGAAACAAGATAATTTTTGTCATACCTGAGCGAAGACTCCATAAGTATCATCTTTAGGATAATACACAGCATCATCACGGGGAGGTTCTACGCTGTGACCTGATTTTTTCCACGGCCCACGGTTCCTTACATTGTTTTCTGTGGCCGTCTCTGGAGGTGACGGTGCCTCCCCAGTCTGTTGGTCCTCAATGTCATGTTGTAGTACATATGCACTCATTCTGATCAGTCAATCATAATCTGTGGAAGGTAACAATCATTACTAAGAAGTATCGTTATCTTTGTTAATTTTGTAAACGAAACAAGCAAATGAGATCAAGCAGCTTTTACACAGAAACTCTTAAAGCATTGCTAAAATACAATCTTCAATAGACTTACATCAAAATATTTTAAAAGTAGTTTTCAGGGAGAGATAGGAAAGAGAAAACAATAAAATTCCCAGAAAACAAGTGTTTTTTTTTCAATCATAATTAATTTATTAGTCTAAAGCTGTTACAATTACCTTATTGCTACAGCTTTCACGAACAAGGTACCCTGATATATTAATATCTTAAAGATAAGACTTACTTTATAATTGTTAGTTAGTTACATACTTTAATACATACATAAATTATATAAAGCCAAATCATCCAAATTGGTAATCATGTATTTTTGTTCCAGATACCTGATACATACTTTGCTCGTTTAGAATTGTGCATGTCCATTGCGATCAAATAATCATTACCATTGATCTTATAAATTTTGGATTATAATCAAAAGGTAAGGTATTGTATGTTCTTTGTGAAAGAAATTGAATTTTAATTTTCTTTCATCATGTTTTGTAAATTTTGTGTTATGATTTGAAGTTGTAAAACAAATGTAATTTAAGGGTCTTTTTAACGGATGGAGAGGAGTCTATTTTAAATTTACATGTGTTGTATCTCTTTAAAAGATACATCACTTATCATTCTATATGTGAAACACAACTATGTTTATACTATGTTATCCCTAAATTAATTTAGTAATATTTTTTTTATTAACAGAAACTTTTGGAATTTTGTCTAAAGTAAATAGATCAATGAATCAAAGAGCTTGATAAAAGGGTAAAGCCTTACAATTGGTATCACTTAGAACTGTAAACTTTAAGTCAAACATGCAATGTATTAAACAAAGAAACAAAGTTTTGCAATTTTTTGAACTGAGTTATCTCCCCTTGTCTATAATTGTAGGTAGAACAAATAAATTCTTGTTCTACCTACAATTATAGACAAGGGGAGATAACTCAGTTCAAAATATTGCAAAACTTTGTTTCTTTATTTAATACATTGCATGTTTGCATGTGCAAAATGCACTTTCTTCTGCAACTTATGTAATTTCCAATAAAATGTTTTTTCTTGTCAAGTCTGGTAATATACATTATTTTGTCAATTGGATATCTAAGCATATCAATTATTAAGGTTCTTCATAACCAATTGGCAAAAATGGCTGTGATTACAGTAAGAAATTTATTCTAAGTACAGACATTCCTGTACACCTGAAAAGTTTTTAATGCTTAGCAGGCCATAGATGTATGTTAAATACATTTATGTTTCAGAATATTAAAATCTGTTTAGGATTTAAATTTCAATGGCACAATAAGTCAATAGTCTTTCTAGCTAGTCTCCATTGCAGCCAAATCTTAAACATTCAGTCATTTCTGTTTATCCCTTTTTGTTTCAATAATAATAATAATAATAATAATAATAATAAATTCTTTATTTAAAGAGGGTAAACTCAGTTAGTTACAATAAACTAATCTTCCCTGAGGCCCTCACATACAAATTACAATACAATCAAAAACAGATATTTACACATAGTTAATTTACTGTCAAGTAGTTCAATGTAATATTGTTAACATAATAAGATATAACAATGTATAAAGCTGTTCAAGATGTACATGTAGTAAAAAAATCAAATAAAAATAAAAAAACAAAAAATATACAAAAACATTGTACAAAACATAATCTTATCAGGACTGTGTTAAGTACTTCTTGATACTTTGTTTAAAAGTATAAGTGTTTTGAGCTTTACGCATTTAGTGTGGTAGTCCATTCCATAACACTGATCCAGAATAAACAAAAGATTTCTTAAATAGCTCAGCTTTTGGCTTAGGAACTATCAGATTACCTTGAGTGACACCTCTCAAGGAGTAAGGATTATTATCTGATTTCAGTTTAAACTTTTGAACTAGGTACATTGGTGCTTCCATACGCATACATTTATATAGAAGTAAATATTTGTGGTATTTGATTCTATTGTCAACTGTCATCCACCCAAGTTTTTTAAATAAGGGGGCTGAGGGGGGATAAAGGATCTGCATCTAGAATTAATCTTGCTGCCCTTTTTTGGAGTTTTAAAATTCTTGTTATCCCTTCATTTTTACATTCACCCCAAATAATACAGCAGTAGTCAATAATGGCCTTAGTAAGTATAGTTTTGTTTTAGTGTGATTGCCTTGAGTGCAGAATGTTGTGGTTTAATTACCAAACACCTCAAAATTGGTGTTTTCAGGGTTCATATTATATCATATTAAAACTCATCTCATCCTTTTGTCAAATAGGAAATTTGTTTTAAGTACATTAACTCCTGTGCAACTGAAAAGTTTTAAATGCATGGCTTGACCTAGATAAATAACATTTTAGTGCATTTTACGTTTCAGAACATTAAAACTTTCCTTGATTTTGATGAGCGTTTTTGTTTTGTTCCTACAGAATGTGTCAAACTAAATTAAGTTTGGAAAAATGTTTGAGATGTTCCTCTCACATAAAATTTGTAGTGAATTATATTGATACAAATAGACAATAGATATAATCTACACAACAAAAAGTGGTTCAAACTGTAACTGAGAGGACCATATCAATTAAATTCTATTCAGGTGTTTGTTTAGTTTACCATATTCTGAAGTTTTTAATTTTCTGAAATACAAATGCATATAACTTTTATATACATGCTGTAAACTTTTTCCATGTGCACAGGTATGTCTGTCCTCAAGAGTTTATTTAGTGTTTAAAACATACAAGTGAATCTTCTGATGGGAGGACAATAATCCCATTTTTTAATAAACATGGCCCAGATGAACCTTAACAAGTTCTTATCCTGATATGCATGTAATATTTGCCAATGGAAATTCAACACTTATTAGATGCGGATCAAGGATTTTAAAAGAAGGCAAACT